TCAGGGAACCAAATGTTCAATTGATGGAAAATGTTTTTAAGCTGTAGTTCGCAAGTATGCTTCAAGTCGGGAATAAAATGCTATTTTTTCTGAACCTGCCTATTTTTTTGTCCGCGAAGTCCTGTTTGTTTTGAAGCGGAAACAAACATAATTTTGACTTGTGGGATGAAATGTTTCACTGAGGTTTTGAGTTAGGGAAACTAAATTATAGAATAGATTCTTTTTTGTGTCCCGGAAAATAGCATAAGAATTTAGGCAGTTTTCTGCCCAAAATTCTGCGCAGAGACGTCTGTTGGCGTCTTCGCGCAGACAGACAAAGGCCTTTTGTGCCTGGGCCTGGTTAATGGTGTGTCCCCCCCATGATATTAAAGGGATTACCCGTTCTGCACTCGTCCGCTGTACCCTAGGTCTGAGTGCAATTCTCTTTTGTCGGCCTCCAGACCGAAGTTGAATATGCATGTTCTGATGAGCGTCACTTTTCGCAATGAGAGCCAATAAATGTTACCTTATTATGAGGCAGAGCTCAAAGAGCATTGATTCTGCTCTTTGGAGCTTGTTGCACATGTCATGACGGAATAATGTCCAGCTTTAAAAAAAAGATGTATTTCGCTGTCAAATGTTGCACCGTGACAGTTCAAGAAAGGACTACCTTGTGAACCTGCTGCCGTCTCATGCAAATAAGGGGAAATCACATCTTTGAATGCCGCGTGAAGATAACTTATTCTGTACTTCATTCCACAAAGGTACCGATGAAATTCGGAATGATTATCTTTTAATAGTCGATTTTTCTGCTGTTCGGATGAATGCCGCAATTTTCCAATTACGTGTAACTCCATGTATTGATTTTGAAGGATATCTGGTCGGTCGTTTTTCATTTAAGTGGTTGCATACAAGAAGTTCGGAGATTTTAACTGCATCTGAAAAGCAGAAATGCAGTATTTCTTGACTTATTGTGACCTTTACCTAACGTTACTCAACTTAAGAATAGTGTAGCCTACACTGGGTTCGTGCTTGTCATGTAGGACAAAGGGCAGTTGAAGTTTTCGGGACCCTAATTTTGTTAGTCCCCTGGATTTCTTTTGTTTTCGTGATTTTCTGCCCTCTAGGAGTTTTTCTCGGTTTTGTAATACTACCACGGTACAGTACTTGACTCGTTGAAGTCTTTACCAGGTACAGTAATACCAAAATTCGGGCAAAGTAATTTTTAAACATGTTCTCTCATTGATTTTCCGGAATCTTAATGCTATTATTTATTTATTTATTACAAAAATAATTGAATAATTTATTGGTTCGTATTTCACTCTACTGCACCATCTTCAGAAGAGAACTGGGGAAATTCGGTGTAATCCTGTGAAACCGTTATCGTGTAAAGCAGCTCAATGCAAATAATTCATGCACTTATTTAGCTCTTTCCGTCGATTTCCTTGTCTAATGCATTGGTGAAAGCTCATTTTCACCAATCATTTCCGGCCGCCCGGGTGACTATTGAAAGAGTATCTTTAACGTAGGGAGAATATTCGTCTGGTTACGTCACTTTCATCGTGTCGGAGTCATATAAGAAATATTTTCTTCTCAGGGTATTGACAAACAAACTCGGGCATTACTCTGGAGAATCGATGAACTATGACTTGAGGCTATTTGCTTCGATGAATCATTTGCCTTTGTGTCTATTTAATTCTAAAGGTTCAATCTTTCAGCATTTTCATTATTCTTCAGATGTCTTGAAGGTGGCTAGATTCATTTCAAAGCTGGATGCTGTGAAAAACTCATCACAATGAAAGCCCAGAAGTGTGCTACAGTACGTTGTTGTTGGAAATCGCCAATGTATCATTAAACCCATATGGCCATGGAAGAAAGAAAGAAAATGAAAAGGCGTTACGAATATTTTTGGGTCATTGTTGAGATTTATGCGAACATATTACGCTCTTGACGAAGGTACCTAGAAAATCACAGTTTCATTGGCAAGTTCGAGTTACCCGGAAAGACGGATTTCAATTCAAAGACAGCAGTGAATCGGTGCGTTCGTCGAATCCGCGCGATGGTCCCTGCATTCTTGATCACGAATCCGGGCCGGTGTCCCCAGTCGACGCGTGACTAGGTGGAATTCGCTACGAGCACTGCCACAATCGTTACCCACAACGTGGCAACGGTTCCCACTTTCGAACTGACGGCTTCTGACGTGGGTATGATAGGTTCAGGTTGCTGCGACTGGACACGTGTTGCTCGTTTGCAGATTGCTCGCTGAGGACCCATGCACGCCGCGTAGCTGATCCCGTGAGCGACGAAACTCTGCTCTTGCAATCCTTTGAAAATGTGCGATCTTGGTCCTGTAAGGTCAGAATTACCCCATTCACTCCACTTCACACTGATACACTATCGATTATAAGACTTACCTAGATTTTTTCTAAAAAAAAAAAGAACAAAACTAAGATGTGAATGTTTGAGGCGCGTACGTTAAAATATTCATTTTGATTTCTTCAAAATCCGTGGTCTTTCGGTTTTACTCATGCTTCAGTTATTAGCTTAATCTCCTTGAATACTTCCAAAGTAAATCATTTAATTATGCCCAGTGCCTTTGAAGTGTGAATTTCGTTAATCATTTGTTTAATCGAAATTCATGCCATTTTTATTCGAAAGATTGTCTTGGCCAAAACTCCCAAAAGAGATGCACGTTACCTGGGAATCCAAGACGACACGGAATACAAGACGCACCTTAATTTTCAAAGGACAGTTCTTTCTTAAGAAAAAAGCAAATGACATTGAAAGCTTCAAGAAGCTGACAAAGCCTGAATATGCGTGATGTGGCACTTTCCTAACATTCAGATCCGCATGTGATTTCCAGCCAGCGATGTCCAAGGTCAAAATGAAATCAACTTCAAGTCCTTGACTTGTTGCTTTTTCGAATTTCTGTGCTAGTATTATTTAACCTCAATGTCATCGGATGCGCATGAGGCTTCAATGTATTCAATTCAGGGCGAACCGATTTGAAAGTTGAAGCTTAAAATCAAGAACATGTTGCCACTCAAAAATGTCTCAGCACAGCATATCATTTCAATGGTTAAAATATACAATATTTTTGAAGAAGATTCTTGGTCCCGTTTTGAGCAACTTTCCAATATAATGTTCTTGTCCCTGTGGTAGAAATGTGTACTGAACGTGATATTCTGAGGAAGTTCGCGGTCGCTTTTCTGTGTCGCATTTTTTTGCTGCTGATACAGTTCAGTGTTCAGTATTTGTGCTCTGAGTTACTTTCTCAACTATGTACGTGGAGAAGATCTCGAAAAATTAAAGTTGTCGTGGTGGGAAACATTTTGAAAGAAGATGAATGCGTTTGTTTCCCATCGCCTCAATTCTTACGGACGAATATCCATATCCGCATTGAACACATGTCGAGTCACCGCAATTTTTTAGAATCCTACGTGCTTACAATTTTTTTTTAGCGATGATCATTGTTTGGATTTATGTTTGATATTACACGGCGTGTTTGTTATGAGAAGCATCTTAGTTTATCCCTTTGATTCGACGTGACCAGCTCTCCCCCTTTCTGTGGGACATTACCACGTGTCACGACATGTTCATTTGCGTTTCCTGCCAGAAGTGCTCGGGCCACCTCAGGTAGATCGAAAGCAACGCAACCGTATGACATGATCTTTGTGTTCGGAGTAACGTAATTCGGAATTATTTCTTACCATAAGCGTAGAGAGCCACGTCTTCACCTCCATGCGTCTCGCCTCCGCGTCCGTTCCATATAGCTGATAGTTGTTGGAACCCATCTACGGTAGTATCTTGGTCCGTTAGATTGTACCTTAAGGGGACGGTGTGTTGTAGAAGTTCTCCGGTATCCTCGTCAAGGGCGCTGACGTTTTTGCAACTGTAGTCATAATTGCCGCCAGTTGTAAACATGAGAGTAGTGTACGGCAAACCATCGATCTCGCCTTTACCGGCAACCCCTGTTGAGAAATCGTTCAATTTCTGTGCGCGATTTGATTGACTTGTGTATCTTCTTTCGAAGCTTCAGAAAATATGGTTCTTTCATGTAAATGAACATCGCGACTTGTCACTGTCACTGTGACTGGAAGGGATGCCCATCGAAGAATACTTATTTCTAATGAATGGTGGGCAAAATAAATCCGCGAAATAAGAATAAAAATCAACATTTTCCGCTGCAGCTCTTCGCATGAAGCATTTTCCCCAATAATTACTTCTCCAATTAGCGATCCACTCGAGAGGCCAGACCTGGAAAAGTTGACTGGGTGTACCGAACATCGATTCTATCGTCTTTATTATGTATATTGTCGTTGTAATTCTTTTTTTTCTGTGACGAGAACGTCTAAAAAGTCTGTTTCAGAATATACGAAATGAGTCATGAATGAACAAAAGATCTCAGACTTTTCCAGCAGCAGACTCGGCGCTGTTGTCCGAAGAATCAAATATCATCGATTATTGAACACAATCTCAAACTATTTCACTCAGCGGATTAAAAAAAAAAATCCCCATCTCGAAACTTGACGCAATGCTGAAGACAAAGCGGTTGTAAGTCGATATATACGTTCCTTGTGGGACGTATCACAGTTGTAGATTATTGGACAAAGTCGATTATTTATTATTTGATGACAGTGATCGACGAAGCTTCTTCGCGTGCGGTACTTTAATGGTGAGATTTATTATAAATATCATGGGTACTCGCCGAGAATGTTGTTGCCTCGGTTGGGGTACCCGTTGATGGTCATGACGTGCGAGTGATCCGCCGTGACGATGATCAACGTGTCTTCCGGATCCGTTGCGTTCAAGGCGGCCTCGACAGCGGCGTCGAACGCCAGCGTTTCCTCCAGCGCCAGCTTGGCTGAGTTGTCGTGCAGCGCGTGGTCGATGCGCGCTCCCTCGACCTTGGAGCATGCGGAAACACGGGTCATTTACTTCCAAGTCGTCTTAGGTCACCTGGTTCCTGCGCGAACCGTTACTCGCCCCGTGCGGAAATGAACGTTTTAGGGAAGGGAGTCTTAGGGAGTCCATACCATTAGGAAGTATCCGTTTTGGCCTTGGGACAGGAGTTGTATTGCTTTTGATGTCATGACCGACAGGTGAGGTTGACCTTTCATTGAAGCATCGCGGTTCGTTTCAGTAGCCATGTGTCCGTTATTGAATAGACCTGTTGAAGCAGAATTCCTTTGCGACTTAGTTCGAACATCCACGTCATATCCTCGTAAGCCATGTTTACTCAGCGTTCAAGGATTGAATTTTCTCAGCATTATCATGAAGAGTGCAGGAATGAATAATCAAATAGTTATGCGAACCTGTCAGAGATGCGAGGCTTTCCAGGTAAATAGAAATGGTGATACACTGGCCGTTTGATTTTCAACTTTTGAAATAAACGAAGGAACTGGACTTCCGAACAAAATAAAGGAAATGCTGTACAGTACTGTATCTTCTTCGTGAAATGTTGTACTATATCTGGTATTCCCTTTGTGATCACTACCTTGAGTAGGAAAGCGCAGTATTATTCACTCCACGCGAAAATCTGCTGTGAATTTAATTTCTACGTGTGCTTGCATAACTGGAAGCTTCTTCGTCCTCTTTCACGATCAGGTATCACGACACGGGCGAAATTTCATTTTTCCTGATGAAAAAAATTTGAAAATGAGCTGGATACGATGTTTTTCATCACGGAGTCCTCTGGTGTAACATATTAGAACCCCTTCCCCCAATTAACATCCGTTCTTCATCAGTTTTCTTCGAAGTCCATGGCGAGTTTCTTCATTCTAATTTAACGGAGGTTCTGACAAACATTGTTTTATTGTATAAGTAGCTTCTCTTCGACGGAAATATCTTTTCAGTGGGCTATTTATTGGGGGAGGCAGTATCGTTTTTAGAAAATGCCGAGCTGTTGTAATCCTTGGTCAAAAAAGGCTGTGCCCATCTCAAACTAGACTCGAGTATCGCCCGCATGGCAGCGGTATTATGTTGATGTATTTTTCCGTTCTCTTGCTCCCGAATCTGCTGGAATTTTTGCATGAATTTTGCACAATGTTGCGAAGTTTTATCACCTAAGAGGTACTCGGCGTTTCTGAGATCTGTCGTCAGGAGCTCTTCCGTGTTCTGAACGTACGCGAATGATGCGTTCCGTTCCCATTTCTCGTCGGCCCAATACGCGATCAAGTTGCGCCCGTCGGCCCTCGAACAGGAATAGTCTCGTTCGCTCGGGCTTACATAATCCAAGAACTGTTGCCGCCCTCCTCCCATGATAACCTGTGGTAATTGTTGAGAACCCCAAAACTTCCCTCAGGAAATCCACTTTCAGAAGAAAACTCACGTTAATATCGATTCCTGGCCTATCTTCGATGAGTTGCCTGGCTATGTCTTTGCAGAGAGTGAAATTTTTTGGTATCGACGTGTCGCATTCCCACGCCCTGCTTGGACTTCTCGCGTATAGTGCTGCCGGCGTCGCGTGTGTCACTCGCGACGTCGTGACGAATCCTGGAATTCATGAAAAGAATGTGGTGGAACGTGCTGCGTGATTATGTGGAATTGAGGAAATACCGGCTGGTGGGAAGTACAGTGATGAACTTTGAAACTCCTATTCACGGAGTTGATTCTGGTTCATACATTTGTTAGATTCAAATCATGTACAGTACTGTATTTGACCAAGTTAATGATTGCTGCGACTTTTCACTGATCATTTTATACAGAATGTATGCGAATCGGAATCACCTTTTGAGCATTTTAAATTATATTTTCAAATCATGTTTTTTTCTTTTTATTTATAAATAATTGTCAAACTGGAACAACTTCTCAAGAATACAAAGTGATGTCTTTCTGAATTCTTTTCAGTTATATTAACGTGATATCTGCTGAAGCTGGTTGTAGATACATTATATATTGCGGACAAAGAAAAATCTTGGAATGTTCGCCCAAATTCAATCAGGGATCCTAAGAAGAAGTCAATTCTTGGATTGCTCGGGAGGCAGACGTAGAAACAGGATGAAACCTCTTGGCATCAGTCTTAGTTAGTACTCATTCAGTGGAATCAAAGAAGTGTGAAGTAAATTATGCTGTACAATGGTTACATAAAGCCTTGAAAAGCTTTTTGCAGTGCAACTTTTGTTCCGTCGTATTGAAAAAAAAAACTGGGAATTACGATAGGAGGAAGTGCCAAGAAAAACATTAAAAATTTGGGGCTCGGAAGTGAAGATAGTACAGCACTGCAAAGGAATGTTGAAAAAAATAAGATGACGGAGCGACAGAAGAGGACACTTCCCGTCGAGATCTTTTGAATTCTTAAATGACACATCGCGATGCACCTCAACACGTTCTCATGGAATTCCCTAGTTCGCTCCTTTTTATTCTTTCGAAGTACATTCTAAGATGAACTTTTCTTGATTTTCTTCCGCTTTTTCAAAATTATGAAGCAAACCAATGTAATGGAGCCGTAACGATTGATGGTGGTATGAAATTTTTTATTTTTTCGAACTGATGGAAATGTGTTTTTTCTTCATCTGTGTAGACTTCGAAATGTTTGATAACACATCGACTATTCATACTTGAATGTTTTGCTCACCCTTAACTTTAATCTTGTCTTTTCTTTCGAGCGACTGGCCCGATTACCTTGAATCTTATTTTTTGGAGCTTGTAAAAATCTCGACAGGGAAATTAGTCGACAGAATGCTTGCCCTGACCTGTTCTCCGCCCAGTGATCTGAGCCCAGTCTAGAAGCGTTGTCAGGCTCTTATCAGCCCAAGACGGGCTTTGAGGCGGTGGGGGAACCGTGGTACTAGTCGTGGTCGTTGTTTCATCTTCAATGTCATCGTTTTCGTCACCCGTGTTGGGCGGTGGTGGGATGCGGCACTGGTCAGCTGTGGCCGTGGCGTCTAGACCCAGTGTCCCCTGTGTGGTCTTCACACCGGAAAACAATGCTGTTGCGGAAGCTGCGGAATCCGTAACTTGCTTATTCACGCTGTAAGTCTGAACGTTGGGGGAGAAAAAAGACGTTACACGGTTCACGAATAACGATTTTTTTTGTGAGCAACGTTTTCGTCGAGTAACCGGCATCGACATAGCGTGCAAATTGTTGTGGTCAATCTGCAAGTATTTAACGTGGGCGCATGTTTTCGCGAACATCGAATATAATGGGAAGAAAATTGCTTCAAGTTCATCAAGGAGTATTTCTCTCCCTGACAATATGGTACATGGAAATGTTCTCCAACCCTCTTCAATAATCAGCTCTCTTGGCAAAAATTGAGGTTCGAAAACAAGTTCAAATTTTTTGCTCGTGTGCCAGGCGAAAACCCCTACCCCCAATTAGAGGGAAAAGAGAATGCTTAAGGTGGGCTAGATAATTTCAATACAATACGAAGTCTAATGCGCAGAATAGTTCATCGTATTTCTTCGGAAAAATATTCGTGCGCGTCTGTTACGGGGCGAGCTTTTCCCGAGTAAATATTATTTGGGTTACTTATAAAATTTGCCTGGGAACTTCGTCTAACCCAATGGATAATGCCAAATGTTCGATTATCGCATTATCCACTACGAATTTCTGGAAATATCTGGAAACGTTCAGCGTTGAAGAACCAAATGCTCGTAGTGTCATTGAATTGCGGTTTATTGCTCGCTTTACGTTCCTGGTGCCCCCAAATATTGAGAAGTGTCCCCAAATATTGCACGATCATATTAGGGGTAAGTTGAACCCCATCAATTTAGTATTAGTTCTTCTTACCTTGAGAAGAGCGAGGTTGGGAAACCTTTCGAAAGTCAGCGATCCTTCTTCGCCGGTCCAACCTCTTTTTTGACCCTTATAAATCCGAGCTGCTGTAGATACTGTGATTCCGAGACCGTCTCCGATGAAGAGAATTATGTTTTTCGCCACATTGTCGTTCTGAGTTTCTTCAAGTATTGAGTTGATTGCGCGACGACCCTCTTTGAGCCAGAAACTGTCATCTGACGTAAATGTATGCTTTAGCCCGGAAATTTTGAAAGGCTCGTTTTAATTTTGTTACCTTCTTTAAAATTGATGGGCACGAAAGGGTTGCATCGCACAATTCCCACGAAGAGCAAAAGAGCACATAAATGCAAAGAGACGAACATCACTTGTCGAGGTGTTGTCGATCGGCGAGAAAGAGCGACTTCGACAGCTGGGCCAAGACTGGACGATGGTTCACTAAGAATGGAGGCTTAGGGTCCGAGGAGTCAATGTCAATGTTTAATGACGTGCGTTGACTCGTCGCGCCTTCGTTGCTGTCGTCATATCATTTCTGGATTAAATGTCTGCTTTGTACTTCATGTAAATTTTCATGTGAGAACTAGGAAGTTGGGGAAGGAACTGGTCTGCGGAAGACGTGATTCACATGCGCATGTTCTTTTTATTTTGGGTCTCCGAGCTGAACAGGTCGTTGGTGGAGTTTTTTTGTTTTACTTGATGATTGTTCGCACTTTTCTCAAAAATTCATGAAAACGCTGAGGCAGCCTGTAGTAGAAATTCTCGTGTAGGCCGCATAGACTTGAAGGATGCGATTGATGCCTCGACTTTCTGTTCACTCGGATTCATTTGAAGGAGGGATTATTTCTTGACATCGTTCAGTCTGATGAGATTTGTTCTGTTTATGAAAGGTTGAAAGTTATTTTGATGCAAGGTAATCTGCCTGTGTTAAAATTGCTGCCAAGTATTTTTAAAGATTAAATGCAGTCATTTTCTTTATGTAAACCACAGTTTCCCCTGTATTTTTTTTTACAGACTGTGCAATTTTCCTCCTTAATTCGTTGCCCAGATCAGGGTGCGGCCTATAATTACGTGAATACGGCAGTACGTTGCCACTCTAGTGTCGTGAACACTGAGTTCGTGTCTGTTTGAACTACGGATATTTTCAATAGCTTTTTTTTCTCAATATGTTTCTTCATCTAGTATCTTGTTAAAATCTTCATCCTTAAAAATGATCGCTAATGTTTGCAGAGATTGAAAGATACAGTCTCCAGGCGAACGTTGCATCCGTGCTCTCTATACCATGTACTGTACTGTACGATTATGTGATCATTAAGAAAACTTCGACTATTCCGAACCTCTTAGAAGTAATTTTTGTCGTTCGCCGAAGTTTCATTTCCCTTCATTAATTTTCTGTTGCATAATTTAATTCGTGGAAATAAGCTGATGAGTTTTCATCTAGGACTCCGCATCGACTTGAGCTGTTGCTTGTATAGTGTTAATTCACTCTGAGGAAAACGAGTACAACGTTTCTAGTTTCTATGTCAGTGGTATGCGATGACATGCCCGTAGTGTGCTCATTAAGCGCAAGTTCAGCTTTAGTCACATGGTGACATTCTCTCATCGTGAGATCCACACATCGGCGAAGGTCAAGGGCGTCTACTCGAGCTTCTCCGCATTGCACGGTGATCTTGTTTCTTTCTTCATTGTTATAAGTGAAACATGTCAGGAAATTCTCCTGCTGCAGTAAGAATACTGTAGAAGGTTATTGTTAGGGTGGACCACGCCCATATTTGAATTTAGTCGCAACCTAAGTCTTCCTGTGTTCTCTTTAGTGTGGTTATTTTTTGTAGTGCGTGAGGTTTTAAATACCGCCAGTTGAGACATTGATAGGAGGTGCGCTATAATAACTGTAAACAATCTAATGAAGCAGCAATGACCCCTCGAATAGTTGAATGCCTTGGTGGCTTTTTGTTCGGTGAAAAATATAATTTTTTTTTTCGAAGAATTCTGAAGACATTAAAACATTTTGTAAAACATGCGCTCTTTTTTCCAGATCTTAGTAATGGACTTATCGCAGTATCGAGTTACACTTTGTTTAAAATATTGCGTGGATTATTCCTATCTAGTAAATGAATGCGGTAATATGAAATGCAGTAGTTCAGCGGACCAACTGCATTTCCAACGCAAAGGTTCTGTTGAGGTACAACCGAAAATGATTTGAAGAACCTTCCAACGTTTACCTGTTGAGAGCACTAGAAGGAAATTAAAAATGAGTCTCATGTGTCTATTTTTGCAATGATCCTCCAACTTGACCTGGCGTTCTTCTCCTAGGACTTGCTGCTGTTGCCCAAAATGTTCTCCGCTGTTCTGTTCATCAGTTAAATTCACATCCACCATCTTCTTAATCGAGGAAAAAAAATTATCATTTTTGTGTGACACTTCACGGGAAAAAAATCTTGATTTCCACATACTGTAATAATTTTCAAAACCACTGAGAAGCAGTCTTGAAGTGTGGGGTATTTTCCGTGGATTCTCAACTTATATTTTATTACTTATATGATTTTTTGGCGTAGACCGTAGACCCCTAAGGAAGAAATGAGCAAATTAACACACCCGGCCAGTCCTACAAAAATAATTCCCGTACCCCGAACAGATCCACAGCGTCATTTGTTTCTCGCGTTTTAGGTGAAATGGAATGGACTTTTTTTAAAACCGCGATGATAATTTGCTGAAAAGATAGGGTTGAGGTTCATTCATTTTCAACGTAAATTCACGAGGGGATTCACAACGCTTGTAAATCCCCTCGTGTATCTTTTTTTCCGTTCTACCCGAGTACTAAGAAGTTCTAAATTCATCTGTGGCCGCGTGATCGTACATTGAAAAAGCTGACATTCTGAACTGTTGGAATCATATTCGCTTGAAGGCAAAGCCCTTCGTTCGTTTTCCAATCTGTTTCCTTCTTGGGATTAAAGTGGAAAGAATTTTTCCACGATTTTCGAAAGTCGCCATCCGACTACTGTACATTATTGTGCAATTTGCAGGAGGTGTCAAAATTGAGAGAACGTGTTCTGCACCTGACGTTCCCGTTGAAGCCATCGGAAGCCCAGCAAACATTTGGAGTACCTGGTCGGAGACGGCCTTCGATGATGTCGTCGATGTCACTTCCGTTCGCGTTTTCCTCATTCCCATTCTCCTCTTCGCCCGTGCCTCCACCTGACCCCACGCCGAACGAGTATTTCGGCGAGCCGACCTTCGAAGCGCGCGGTGAATTCGGAGGAGCACCACTGCGCTGCATAGCGGAGGATCGTATCACTCCGCCTCTGCAGCGTTGCTGCGTTGAATTGTCCAAGCCAGTGGAAAAAATTTTAGTCAGGTACTCATTTCGAGTTTCAATTACTCACGAAAAACGCACAAGTTCACAGTATTCTGTTTCTCTGTCCAGGTATGAACGGTTACCGAAAGATATTTTTTCTCCCCCGTTGTCTTCGGAATGCACCACGAGGACACGAAACGTCATCACCTGGGGTTCACTGAAACCTGTAGCGTCATTGTGGAGATTCTTGTACCATCGCAGATGGATTTGGGCTGCGCAGAGCAGTACTGGATCCCCGCTTCCGCCTAATCATATCACACAAATATTGGCAACGGTTACCGAGTGAGTTGCTGAGGTTCATTAACAACGTCTTCTTCAATTGTGACGTTTGTTTGAACGATGAATTTTGCAGAATGCGACTGGAGGAAGGATTTCATTTTGCCTTCTTCTCTGCGGGGACATTTACAATGGTTCGAGAAGTACAGATGAAGGTGAGAAAGCGACATCATTATTGTTCATTATTTTGTGCGCTGGATAGTAAATACGGAATTCCTACAGGTGACTAGCACGGGTGATCTATGTATGGCTCACAGTGGTGATTTGGAAACTATGCCATGTACGGTCCAGTACGTAGTTTTTCCTCCACAACGCTCATCGGTTACTCGGCGAGAGAAGTGAGTTTGAATAGTATCCTGCTAGATTGAAAATTCTGTTTTGCTATCTCTAATGCTGTACTCCCAAAAACTGACGATGGAATGATTTTTTATTCGAAACGGTGCGACTCGACCTCCCCTCAGCTAATGGAAAATTCGCTCGGAAAGGAAGGATTTTAGCGATAAAGACCCATTACTTCTACTAAAAAAGCTTCGAAATCGCACTATTAGTTTTTTGTGTGCTAATCTCAGGATACCTTTAAACTTAGTTGGGAGTGACCGCGACTTTTTTTGTTGTCAATTTGAAGGAATCTAGATGAGCAGACGGGAGATGACGACGACGATGAGAGTACGGAGTTCGACGCAAATGAGTCTGACGGATTTCTGCATCTGGTCACTGAATGCTGGATAGAACCACAACACGGGATCGTTGCTGATCCTCATCCTTACCATTTTTCTAAGCTGGCTTACGACAAGATTCCTCAGGAGGTGGATTGAGTCATTCATTTTTTCCTCATTTCTTCGTGGAGTATGGTAGTTTTGAACACGATTCCAAGAGTTCAAGTTAATTCAAAGAAGGCCAGCCTGGCTTTATGAATATGCGAGTACCGTAGTGTTCAAATGAGATGAATCGGAGAATTCCCGCATTACTCTCGATTTCGCGAGAGACACTCATCCCGAACGATTATGGAAATCAAGTAGTCTTCCTTGAAACGATAGAAGAATCCTGATACAGTACTTCATTCTACAACTACTGGCATTAAACTATCAAAAACAGATCCGGTTAAATGAATCTTATTGTGAGTGTACTCTAACTGTGTTGTTTAGTACAGTATGTAGTTTTGATCTCCTCTCCCGTATGTTAGGTGAGCAAGGATCAAATTCGAATATTTTTTTACGCACATTTACTCTTGGAAATCTTTCTCGCATGTTAACAAGATTTATATTCTTTTTTTAAATTTAGGTCTACAAGCAAGACTTGGAGTGCGTTTCTACGTTGATCACAACTGCACACTTGAGCCTCATGTGTCAGAATTCCGCCATACCGTCACCTTCTGGAAGTTCTCCTCCGTGTGTATTTGATTGCCCGAAGAAGTTTCCCTCGACTTTGGTGTACAAATATCCATTTCCTTTTTTTCAGTTATGATTTCAGTACCAGAATAAGTGGAAGGCCAGAGATTCAATACGTGCCGTTTTGCTTTGATATCACAAGACTTCTACCGAAGTGCCAGCAAGTAGAGATGCTCTTCTCGACGTTGATCCAAGGTTTGGGAGCAAATGCGCAAATTTTTCTGTTTCGACGCTTAAGCATTTTCACATTCCAACAGATTTATCGGCGAAGTTGGATCCGACAAACTCGGAGAATTCTTCCAACAGTATACCTGAAGAGGCGATAAATGAGCAATTTTTCGCATGCATCTTCGATGATCTGCGCGAAATTACCGACCGTGAGGTATGCAACTTATTCGAACACATTGTTGATTCAGAGAAGAAATCGGATGTCTATGATTTTCCGAGTACCTATCTTCGAAATTGTCGTTCCTGAGGCGTATTGAGGATTCTCGTTTTTTAGTCACTATCATGTATTACTTATTACCTACTTTTGTTTGAGCGATCTACTTTCAGTCCTATACCTTCGGAATCGGACAGTTGGCAAAATCCGCTAACTCTTGATTATGCCTGATTCATTTTCATTGCGACTAGGTGACGATGGGGTCCGTGGATTGGGAGAAATTCCCGCTTTTGGTTCGCTTGCGAGACCGACCGTGGGAAAATTCCGAGGTTCCCTTCGAATGCCCGTACACGAGTAAAGGTATTGTATGCTTGCTGGGTACTTTATTGATTGTTCGTTTTAGCTAAGAAAAGCAGAAGTTCAATTACGGATTTACTCTATGATCCCTTCGAGAATGGACCTGTTCAGCGCGCATTTCGAAACATGATCCTGTGATTAAAGAAAACCTTTTCTGCAGGCCTCAGTTCGAAGTTCGACGATGATTATTGTTCTGTTCATTATGCTAATTCTCGATCGAGGAATTGTTTCTTCTTAATGTTAAGGTGTATTCTCACGGCCCATCGAGTACCCTCTGAGGTTGTAACAATTAAAGAAAATTATTATCTTTTTTCCGCAGAGGAGGATCTTCCCAAATGGCGATGCTTCGTGAAAGGTGTTAGTCCTACTCATTCACTTTTGATCATTCTCCCGGCGTCCTACGACGATCTGTTGAAGCTCATAATTCGTGAAAAGAAAACCCGGAGCTCGGATGGGACAGAAACTAACTCGATGCAGTTTCCCTCAAAATCGATTCGCTTGGTCGTTGAGGGAGTGGATGATGCACCAGACGCATTGCTCGGTTGCACTGGGGCGACTGGTCGAGCTGGTGTTGGTTTATTATCAAGCGATGTGGAATCGGGAATGATCGGGAGAAGCATGTCTCTGGGAAATGCGCCCCCACCGTCCGTCTCCGTCGGTCGAGCCCGTGCAAAAAGTGGCAGTGGCATACTCGCTCGGAATCTTCAGAAGCAAAGTAATTACTACAGTATTACCAAAGTTCAATTTAAACTCACGCTTTTCTGATGTGATTAAAAAAAGGGCATGAACTTCGCAATCATCTTAATAAATTGTATTTTTGTCAAAGAAATGAACATGATTTTCTGAATTGGTGCATGCATACTAAAATTATTGAAATGTTGCTTTGCGTCGGATGAGGTCGCAGTTCATTGATATGCATCATTTAAATAATTTTAATTTACTTCTCACCACGCCAATCCGTGCGTTCTACAGTATATTAAAATGGAATCTCGTAATTGAAATATAATTTTTCTTGAACGATTTCGTCAGGTGATCTGTCAGATTGGGCGAAAAAAATTCTGTCAAAGAAAGCAGAATGCAGTCATCTCTCATTAAGCAAGAGCGTATTGAATAGAAGCTTTGAAGGCAGTACAGGGGATTCCATTCGATCCTCCTTGGAAGCCGTCTTTATACCCGATAACGGGCTTTTGCCGGAGAGCCGGAAGTTCTGGGCAGCGGGATCCGACGGTAACGGCATACCGTCTATACCAAGTAGAACGTCTGTTTTTGATTCGGTAGAATCGGATAGTGTCGGCTCGACCTCGAATCTTCCATCATCTGTGAAAGGATCCCAGAAACAGCATCGTCCACTTTATGGATCAGTCGTCCTCCCTATTTATGTTTATGACTGTCCATTATCCGGGATGATCAGCTCTTTAGTTTGTCGGTGAGTGGATCACTACTTTCTATTATCCCCACCCATTATTGAAAAAAATTGTGTTTCTCAGGCATGAAGCTCGTGCGCGAGAAAAAGATGAATTTTTTGATCACACGTACAAATTCAACTCGGAGTTGCCAGAAATGAACGTTTCCGTGACAGGAGGGTCTTCAGGCTCAAATGCGAAGTTCGATCGGAAAGCACCTCCAACTCCTAGCACACCAGGTTCATAAGCTCTTATCTAAATTGTTTTTCTATGTTGACATGGATCGAATCTTTCAGATGAGAAGCATCGCAGAGGTATCACTCGATCTGGCATGTGCGAGTCTATCGAACTTTGTGTTATGAAGAGCTTCATCACGTCAGTATTCAAGTGTCTCCAGCAAAAACTGACAGTTCATGCACAGGACGTGCTGGCAGCTGTTGAAAGATGTCAAGATATTCCAATTGAGCTTGATTTGACCGATTTTTTGGAGGTACTTTTTGATGGTTGGAAAACCAGAACGCTCGATGATTGTGTTTCTTGTGTAGCTGATATGCCATCATGTGAAAACTATGCGAATGAAAACTGGCCGAAGCCGATGGGGAAGCAATGAGGCGGAAGCGGAATTCTCGTTGAATTCTCTGAGAGCTGACCAACCTTGCGAATGTGTGCAGAATTTGCACCATTGCATCAAGCTTCGATTTTTTGATGCCCTGCAAAGATGTTTTCAAATAGTCCCTTCACATCCTCAGTATTTCTTCTACTGTCCACCAGGCTGGGGGAAAAGAACAGATGTAAGTCTTGTTTGAGGAGTTTGAATAACATTGTCGTTGGTTTGTAATCGGATCCTTCAATGAAGCACGCACAAATTTTATTCCAAGAATCGGGGATCCGCACATTTTGATTCAAGTGATTTTCCGTATGTGAACTGATTCTAGAAATCGCTGCTCTCTGCTTGTGGATAGTGCTTTTCTTCTCCTTAAATTTCCAATATGAAAAATAATTTCCGGAATTTCACCTGACAGCGAAAATTTTGGTTATCTATCTCCGATTGAAATCGAATTGTTCAGGAAATTCCGGGGATGCTTATAATTTATGTCACGAAGTGAATCACGGAAGGCCACTGTCCAGATCGATTTCGTTGACATGATGTTGTCCCCCTCCCGTCTTAAACTAGTAATTCTTTGACATTGACCAATTAATTCTTACGATTACCCGAAAGGAAAATCCATGGGCCATATTCTCATTCCGAGTCTTGACCGTCAATATTTGCTGACCTATTTTTGATAATATACTGTCCTGTTAAAATACTCATTCTCGTAATGTGCTCATTGACATTTTCAACGAAGAGGCTAAAGATTTCTTCTCTTCAATAGGGCACAAACACGGAAATGAATTTCGATGAATGCGCTGGGCAGACCGATTCTGGCAAGTCTTTCAATACGTCAGATTCAATTGTATTCAAACATGAATCGAGCGAATTCAATTTGGGAGCCGTTGGTGCGTAGTAAAAATGTTCCTTAGTTATCCACCAATAACTTCTAGAAGGGGTTTCCCGATGCAGGTACATCTGATCACGAAACAAGGGGACGACAGAATGAAAGTCTGTATCACGACGATCATCGAACATCTGTCCAGAGCAATGTGGATTCTATGAGCGAGTTTTCTGTAGATTCCAATTATGAAAACATCGGCGATCTAGTAGAAACGCGCTGCGATGCCCCTCCGTTATTTTTACAGCTGATGTGTGCTATTCGACAAGGCACCGAAGTCTCCCATTTTCCAGTATCCTCCGTTCCAATATGTCTCGGTAAATATTCAGGATATGGTGAACTGTGTAAAGTTTAAAAACGTCATGATTTTTCTAAGCTGAACTATTGCCGTGGCTGGAACACTTCGGAGAAAGCATGGACATGACGAAGACCCAGATTCAGTTGAACGTCTTATGTCTGACATTGCCCCCCATCATTTTGTCGACTTTGACCAAAAGGTTTTTTCTTCAAACCGGAATCTCAACACCGACATTTCTCTATACATTTTTTCAATTGCAGGGGTCGTGAGGGACTTCGCTCCACATCTTTCTGCTCTGGAGCATCTTCAGAATGTATAGACCCATCCGAAGCTCTCCACGGTGAAGATGATTCGGACAACTCCGTGATTGATGAGTATGAATTAAAATGAATTTATATGATTTCATTAGTCGACCATCTCGATATTTCAGTGACGGTCGGTTCGACAATGCGCTTGATCTCCTTCCAGCATTTCAAAAAATGTCCGTTTATGACACCGTGGATGAAGTGAGATGCAAAAAATGTCTTTAATTGATTTAGAACCCTTGATTTTTTAAATTTTGCTTTAGATGAAATGGCTCTTGATGGATGAGATGGTATCCTCAATGCTGGAAAATGAGAATTTGGATTCTTCGTTGCTGGCTATGGTATGTGATCATGTTCGTCATTCCAATGGGCGTGCCTCGTGTATTTATAGGGAAGTTCCGTTGGAATTCGTGTGCTACCCAGATGCCAGCTACGAAAAATTTGTTGAGGTAATATTGTTTTAAAATAATTAAAACTGCATAGTGTTCTATTTTAAAAGTTGAGCTTTTACAGAAACTGAAAGATTTCAAAGTGAACCAGTACAAGCTGCGTCAGGTGGAAGGATATTACTACGTATCAGAAAGTGATTGCTCAATTTCAAGAAGAAATCGCCTCTCTTTGGCTAAACGCAGTAAGTTGGTAGTTCGGTATGTTATATCGCGAAGCTGAGTAAAGTGGAACCTTTCCTGCAGTTAGTTCCGTTTCTGACAACGAGTTCTCCGTCGTGGACGCATCAAATTCGGAAGTGTTTGATGAAGCAGGTCCGCGGTTTCTGCAAAATCGTGAGTAGATAAAAAATGCATATATCATATGTATTTATTTATTCCAATGATCCCACCAATATTTGAAAGGTTTTCGGTCGATTACTCACGACGCCGGAGAAATGCAAGTTTTCTCCCAGGAATTTCAAGTACACGTGAAAAAGAAAGAAGCGAATTCTTGGAACGTCGGCCAGAGTTCGCAAAATGCCGAACGAAGTCTGCATCAAGAAAGCGATGGATTTGTTGGGTCAGCTGATAGAATTAATACGGTGGAAGACATTCATAGAAGTACGTAAACTATTCGATTTTGAAATCAACCATTTCCTACATGATCTTCGTTTGTTTTTGCAGTTCATCTTTCATCTACTAGTTCAGAAGACGATCGAATCCGCTTGCCGGGTTTCTGGTTGATTCTCTGTGTGGACAGGGATAAAGTGAAAACTTATTTTCATTGCCGGTGAGTGATTTTGTCCTAGCTTTTCGTCTGGCCCGTTGATTCTGTTGTCAAATCAAGTAATTGGGAGTTACAGTAATTCGTGTGTACCATCATACAGTACTTGCATATCTTGAAGAATCAATGTACGAAGGATGCAGAACTTTTTTGCCATAGAAGTAAAAATCAAAATTACAGAACTGTTTTTCGTTTCAAGATAACCCTCACAAAACAGTGCTTCTTTGGAGAATATTATTGATCGCTTTCCCTTGGTAATATCAGAATATTGAATGACCACATGCGTATAGTTTTTCTTTTCCTTCGACAAGTATAATTTTAAATACTCATCAATGAATTGTTTACCCAGCGTTACCGTTTGTTCATCATGGATTTACGGCGAGAACGTCATGCTTACGTCTGGCAGCCTCAAATAAGTTTCCATCAAGTTACTGCAGTACAATAATGCATCTCATTTTTTACTTGCGCAGTTCGGGTTCAGGGGATATCCATTTGGTCGACCGTTGGAGGAAGGTGTATTATGAAGTTATCGCAAAAATTAAAAGTACTTGCAAGATCGTTAACCAAATCTTGCTACTGCAAGATCTCCACGATTCTCGTTCTTGTCGGCAACTTCTTGAACCGGAAGCGCCCGAGGATGTTTGGCCCAAAGATGATGCCACGTCCACCCTGGCGATACTGGACCCTGCGAGTCCTCGGATGTATCCGAAAGACCGTTCTCCTGATGGTATATATAATTTTCATGATTTTTTTTGGTGCTTGAATATATATTGTGATATTTTCCTGTAAGACACTGATATGGAAAAGCCCTTTTTGGAAGCCAGTTTGCGTTTGAAACCGGGCGAATTCTCTTGTGGCGCTGTTTTGATCGTGCAGTTTTACCTGCATCCGCGATTGAAAGCCCCTGGAGTGAAAACGGGTGCCCATAGAGCTGTTACGGTCCTACAAGGAGTTTTATCCGCGTTCTCCGTGGTCAACCGCAAGAACATGTTTGTTTACCAGGATTGTGACGGCAACGTTTTTTATTTAAGGTAGAAAACCTCTATAGTTGAAGCTTTTCATGGTTGATAGTCCGTTCGACAAATTTTTTCACAGATTGCATGAAAGTCCACCGAAAAGGGACTTGTTCGGTCCTTTGGGCATCTGTGAACGTTCCGATGAACCAGTTGCTGCATCTGGTCGATTCAGGTCTTACTCTTATGGGTCAACGTTTCCGTCTCGAACAGCGGACCACGACGCATCTTATGAGGCATGTAACATATATTTATGGAATTGTGCGTCTTGGCTTGATTTAAGTCAAGTAAAATTCAATAGATTCTTGCCGAGCAGTCGTCGGCTGAGAATGAATCTCCGATTTCAAACTCTCTCAGTCAGCGGAACTGCGATGATTTCCTCTTCCTTGTAGTTCATGGTGTTTCTGAAGCAAGTGAGTTACCGCGTGATTTAGAATCATTATTTTTTTCTGAATTTTTTCCCCCTTTTTTTTCAAGGCCCGTCCATAACGGTTGGACTCGTCGAAATGTTGCGCAAGCGTCTTGATGAAGCTGTTTTAGACATAATCACTATCATGCTGTTGAGGAATTCTCAATGCAAATTGCGGCCGGAAGATGTTCACTTTATTCAGCGTCCACACGAAAAACCTGTGGATGAGTTCAAAGTACGTCAGCGAGTTATTCGGTGGATTCCTGGAAAATTTATATTTTCGCTCTCAACAGTTGCGCTTGCCTATTTGGAGTGTACCGTATCTACCGGCAGTGTATTTGTATTTGAAGCAGAATCTGATGCAATTCTTGTATCCACCGAGATATATTGATAACAAGTCGGAGCACCATTTTGTGGTGAGTTATTCATGATTTAATTTTTACTTCATGCTGAATTTCTTTCCATTGAAATTAGGATGGATGGGAAGATGTGCAGGATGATCCTCATGCAACACCATCGGAGCAACACGAAGGGGACATTTTATTGTATTTGTTAGGGAATAAGCCAGGAGCAGGAGCGGACGGAATAGCATGCATTTCAATGGTGATAGCCGATGGAGCTGGTATTCGAGTTGTGTGGAATTCTACGCAGTATCCACGTGGTCGACTGGTTATTGGTCCTCTGGCGTTGTCGCCCCTCCAATCAAACCGTCGCACTCCATGGACTGAGAGCGACTTTCATGCTGTAGTGCAAGTTAAAGAAGTACCAGTGACGGAAAAATTCAGGAAGACCCCTGGTTCTGATAGCTCAGAGCCGGACGCCGAAGATAGAGAAGTTGAAGCCTTTTTCTCCAGGGGTGAGTTGGTGATGCTTTCCGTTCAGAGTGATGTTCTACGCAAATAAATGTCTGCGTTAAATTGCGTCAGGTTTCGTGACCCCAAGTATTCATGCTTCAGTCTCTTCTTAGGTATGTCAGCGACCGTGTCTTTCAAAGTGTGGTCTCAAGGAAAAATAGATACCAGCCAACTACGAGGCAAGCTGCGTTTGGCGGTCCAACAGTCTTTGTGGGACTTGTATTCGGAGTACAAAGTTTTTCTGCCGATGTCCGAAGAAGATGGATCGTGCAAAATGGAAAGCTCTTCAGAACCGACTACGCCTCTCATATGTGAGGAAATTCTCATAATTCTTCGTTGTGTTGTTGTTCATTTTTTTTTTAGTGTTTCATCGCATATCCAAGACCGTCTTCAAAATGAGGCGACGAAGTTTGATGGGAAAAAAACTATTTAGTTTCTCTCGATTTGTGAAGAAGTTCTATACCGCATAATAGCACACAAGATTTAATTCCTCCTTTTTCAAAAATCAGCCCTCCGAAATTTAAATTATGCTCATTTTTCCGACAGTTCCCCGTCGATCGTCAGTTGGTGGTCTGAGCGTGTCGCATCCTCCTGATCGAACGCCTTCACCGGGACAGCAGCAGGTTGGCAAATCTCGTCTTAATATACTTCTATGTTTTCGATCGGTTGTCCCGTCCGCTGAAACATCGTACCAGTAGGATATATTTCATTTTGTAGTCCCCGTCTTTTCTTCGAATACTATTGAACCGAAGCGAGGTTTCCTAGTTTTCAAAATCCCGTTCAGATTTGTTGATCGTTAACGCAGTTGTGATATCGCGAGTTTTGGTGTAGTTAAGTGCTCGTTCGTTGTCATTGATTCCCTGCATTGATGTGTAGTTCGTTCATCAGCTAACTTACCGTAGAGTTACTTATGATGTTCCTGGTGTTGGCGATTGCATGATGCTGTATGTCTTCCGGTTTAGTTCTAGATTTAGAGCCGGTTATTTTAAATGGGGAAATTGTAGAGGCTGTGTACCGAAGGTTCTTCTGACGTTCGTGTTACCTTATTCGCCGGGCATTGTAATGGTCTTAGGTTTGGTTCAATGGGGCTTTGGAAAAATTGTGTTTTTGCCGCGCAGGAATCATGCAAGGGACAGTTGTGGGAATTTCGATCTTCGTCGTTATCGCTGGAGCTCGAGGTTTATCTCTCTAAGGTGGTACAAAGCTGCGAGGGTTTGTTTAAAGCGTATCATTGTGTTCTCTGCTTGAACATATTTTTGTCATGTCTTGGTCGTTGAGTTCGGGTTCTGTACCTTGACAGACTCATGCAATGCCGCATGGGATGTATGGCCGTTAACTTGCATGAAACCTCGAGCGTTCTACTTCGCTTCGGAATGTTGACTTCTTTGCCGAGTACGTCGAATGGGAATTTCCTCTGTTTGCCAATTTTTTTTTCGTTTGTTTATAATTGAAATTGAAGTATTTCGAATGTATCTTCTTCTCGCATGAATTAGCTTGAATCTTCGCCGCGAAACGAGCTTCAGTCGATTGCATTCTGCAAATCTCTTCATTGCGAGCTTTGAGGTTATTTTGGTATTGTCTAATTAGGGTGCAAGATCACCGTTGAAATCTCAGTTATCGCTGGCAGAACCTCCTGCGAAAACAAGGGTAAACGACTATTACTCCAGACGCTCACCGCAAGCGGAAACCGCACAACGACCGTCGTTCGAAGTACTTGAAAATGTTTTCCTCCCCTGGCTGGATTTTGGTTTTGATGACTTGAACGTTCCATCGGTGCGAAGAACTGCTGTTGTTCTTTCATCAAGGTTTGTTCGGAAAGTCAGTTTCGTGGGATCCTGGCTGCATTTATTGATTTAATTTTCTGCAGGCAAAACGTCGACTCATTCTTACGGGAATTTTGTGGAATTGTTGAAGGCATGGATGACGAATTATCGGTTTTTGTTGTCGATGCTCCGAAATCCACAAGGCTGGAAAGTGAACGTCGTCTGCGTAGAAAAGTTGAGCGTGTAGGAAGTCACACGCAAACCCCGAGTTGCGTCAGCAGGAATGGTTCGAACGAGTCCCCGTGCTCCGTGGACTACCAAACTTTTGTTCCAGTTTCAGACCAAGAAAGCATCAAAGGCGATCGGGAATGCTTGAGTCGTTTCAAGTATATGTTGAGGCCCTCATCGCAACCAGAATACTTTTTATTCGCGCGAAGACTCGGCTACTGGAAGTTCTCTCAGTTTTCTATTCCAGAAACTGAACGAAGCCACTCCAGTGAGTTTCTCGGATTAAACGGCAAGACTTGCCGATATCCGCCGATTTTTAAAGCACGACATCCTTAATAATGAACTTTTATTTTTTTTTTCGGGCCCATGCTTTGTATGTGAGCGGTAAACTTCAAATTTGTTCGTGTAGAAAGTTGATTATATCTTTACTTACTGTAATCCATAACCGCGGTTGGACATAAGATGAGCAGTATTCAGGGTCGACCGCATGTATTAATATTGTAAGGTTCAATGAATTTAAGCAGGTCGCTTTTTCAGTCGGAGAAATTGAGTATGCAGAAATGTTGATGGATTGCTTCGAAGAAATTTGACGGGTGTTGGCATTTTAATGTAGGTGCAAAGGGCCCAGTGAGATTTCATTCCGGAGCACCGGTCGTTGGTCCGTCTCCGTCTATCACTCCGACATTACCGGGTCAGTCCACCTTCCAGCCGGTATCGATTCTTGCTGTTTCGAGCCTGGTTGGTTCTTCATCCAGCATTTTCGCTTCTCCCGATCCATCGAAGTTCGTTGTCACGAGACAGAATTTGATATATGTCACCGTTAAGGACAAAGATGTAAGTTTTTACTTCTTTGGAAAATTTCGGTTGTTAATACTGCGCTGCGATGTCGTTTTTCCTCGGATATCAGGTAATTATCTTCACGTACAACTGGTCGAGGGACGCGAATGAACAGTTGATGGTGCAGACGAATCGCTTGACCGCATGGCTCAATAGTAGAACGAGGCTCTTACATTCAATTGTGTATCAGAAGCTTGGGCTTTTTAATGGGCAACCAATCGTTAACGTTGATCGAAAGGACAAAGATTCTAGATATTTTCAAGATGTAGACGCGTTAATCAAATGCCAACGGTTTCCGAGTCGTGACGGCACGACAGCCGCTGAACAGAGTCGCCACAATAGCGGATCGTCACATCACGAAGACTTGCGTTCCCATCGACCGCCTCCTGGCCCTCCCCCGATTCTGGATCCCCTAGCTCCCCCTGCGATAACCTTGCCAATATTTCTCGAAGTCTACCGTGACACGCAGCCGCGTCTTCCGCTGCACATGACAAATTACGGAATTTCCCGCGACATCGTTGGTCGTCATGGGCGTCAGATGCAGGAGATCCGTAAAGCGGAATTCAGTGGTGAGTACGCTTTTCTTTTCGGTATTCCAAGGTTAGATAATCTTACGTTTAGCTATGTACGAGCGCCTGCGGTGTTCGTGGGGAGAAATCGATCTTAACTAGAGTGTAAACTCAAGCACACAATTTTTGACCGTGAGGCATTTTTGCAGCTCGAGTTACCAGCCCGATTAAACAGAATCCCTCATTTTTAAAATTTCTGATATATCATTGGTTTGAGTGCATTTGCAAATGCATTTCCTTTGAGATGTAAAGTTACGTTGCCAGGATCACATGTAAAGTAAGCTGTCTGTCATTTTAAATTATCAAGAGGAAGGCATCTGGTCATCATACCACATTATGAAGGCTTAGCTATTTTTAAAATTATTATTTTTTCGTTCGACATCTCGATTCACAACGAAGCTTTATTGTGAGCTTTATTTGCCTATGGACTTTCGGCCCGTCGTCTTACGCATGCCCGAAGTTTTCAAGTATTTACTTGTGCAGAAGTGCCGCATTTTCGTGGTTTGTTTTCACGCACAGAAACGGAACGAAAAGCAAGAATACAGAATTTGGCGATGGAAGCGCAGGCAAATGTCCCGGTGAACATGAACCATATACAAGATGTTTGTACGTCCGTTGCGCGACCGATGCATTTCATTTACACTCCGCTGCTGTTCCTCCCGCGTTGGCGCTCGATTTTGGCGTCGATTCGAGATCATTCTGCGTTTGTAGCCTTTGGTGTCGGAAACGAGGTTGATGCTTCACACCCTACTCAAACCCCACCCGCTACGTCCACGTCAAATCCTTTCGTGGGCGGTGGATCAGTTGTGCCTCCAGAACCTCCTCCGATCACGGTTTGTTACTCTAATTGATATTGGTGCATCTTTTTCATCTTCGGTTGTATTCTCAGAGATCGCGGCATAATTCCGGACAGACTATCACTTCTGGAGAACCGCGACTGTCGTCTGCCTTTTCTCGTGGAGCTAGAAATTGTTGGGGCCCTGCACCAACGGAGGACGAATCATGGCATCTGACTCTACTTGAAACTTACATGAGAGAGTACATCCAGTACCTTGTATCGCTGGGGTTCATGTCCATCCAAACTCGCATTACAACGGGTCCTGGGAAAGGGTACGGGTGTTAAAGTGAAGATTTTCATAATCATCCCTCAATTTTAATATTTCTATACTTAGACGCAGAATGGATGGAAAATCGATGGTTGCCGAGACTCCACCGCCTCTGCTAATAGTGAGTGGAAGCTCCCGGTTGCCCATGGGAAATGTTTTCGGTGCAGGTGGAGGTTTCGGCAGAATCTTGCCTCAGTTTTTGATGAAGCCAACCGTCGGAGGCCTAATAGTGGTTGAAGTTGGCATCAGTGAACCTTATGCGTACACCAAGTTGTTCGGTTTGGAAGGCCCACGTCTGATCCCGAAAAATTCCACAACTCCGCGGCAGGTATTAAAATAAGAATGCCTTTTCGATTCCACTTTCAAATTCAAAGTGGAGTTGATTTTCATCGACAGAGTTGTATTTTCTTCAATTTTGTACCATTTGGTTGCAGCACATCTTGAATTTTATTGCGGAGTGTGATTCGATCATGTTCGTGCTTCACATGCATTCCTTCTCGTATGATTATCATCTGAGGACCTTACATGCCTATTTATCGGCGAGAAACTTGCTGTTCAGGCACGGGTATCACTTGACATCATTTTTGGATGACTTCATAAAGTACTACACGAAGGGCCCAAATTATGCTCGAAATTTGATCCATTCAGGTAGACAAAATTTCCTCTCATGAGATTCTAAAATTACTGGAGTTCTGAATATCTACAGGGACCATGGTGATCGAGAATACGTATACACCTGGAGTCGAGCTGTACAATTACTTGATGAATCACTGCGAAAAGATTTATGAGATGCGGGTCATGCGAGTTTCACCATGCAATACATCTACTGCGAGTTCAGCAGGAGCCGTAAGACATTTTTTGTGTTTATTGTCTTAGCGTCATCGACAATTTATCATCATTTTTAGGAGTCTGAGTACGTTTTGATAAAATTGTCAACGCACGTTGCGACGTATAAAGACGCTAATGAAGTTCAACAACGGGGAGAGTTCGACGTAACCGTAGTCATAGCTCTGGACAACGAAAGCTGGGACGGACGCGTGACGTCGGAGAATTTCATCGCTTTGAAATTCTACGTAATGTTGACTAACAAACGCGACGTTTACCCGAAGCAAGTTCCGTCGAGGTTTGGCAAATTCCGCACTGTTAGCACGCCAACTACACCCACAACGCCGACTCACCCGAAGCCTGTTTCGTTGGCATCGAGTATTTCTTCTAATGGCATTCGGGATCATGATGAAATCGGAAGTGACAGATCAGTTGGGCCTGCGACCCCCACGGTACTTACGCCGAATCCGACACAGTTGAGTGGCTTTGTATCGTGGAGTGCGTCGAAGCCATCAGTTCGAAGGAGAACCCAGAAGGGCTTCATGGGCATTAAGTAAGTTTGAAGGGGTGATGAAACTCCTCCAGCATTCTCAGTTGACTAAGAACGAATTTTTCGACCATTGCATATACTGTAATTAGTTGGTAGACATTTTGGTTGAACGTTCACTAGGCGTTTCATCACCGGTGGCATGTGAGTGTTGAACTTCGGACTTTTTTCTCTCTTTAGAGTCGAGTCAGTATTTTACACTGGATTTTTCTCGAGCTACGAAGAAGCAATGCAACAAATCCTTGCCGAGCAAGTTAGTCAAGCTAAATCTAAAATTCGTGAGGTGGTAGAGAAGGCGGTCATCCACTGCAGGCGTGACGCACTATGGGAAAGACTTGAGGCAAAGGTATTACCTTGGTTCTATACCATATTGAGTATTTATTTATCTAACTATATCCGCGTTTCATTGACTAGCCGTGTACAATGAGCTTCAGCGAGTTTTCGGAACTTCTGAGTTTGGTCGTCGTTCGTTCGTTGCGAGACCTTGACCCCAACCTTGCCCCTTTGTTCCACATGAGTGCTGGCTGGTTCACCGGTCTGGCGAAGTTCATGATAAGCCGTTATCCCGAAGAACACAGGACATTTTCTCCTCACGACGGAACTCAGATGATGCAGTATGTACTAACGTGGAACTCGCCATCGCCGAAGTCTTGCTTCGCATTCTTGTTCATTGATCACAGTACTCCTCGAGTGGTGAGTTTTTTTTTTTCATTACTTCGTGCTCCTTTTTTAACTTTCTTACCTTGGTATACTGTATCGAGATTACCACTGTGTATCTTTTCGAATATAATACAGTATTGTTCTTTACTTGAGTGTTTCTGGGTACAGTTTTTCAAGTCGTGCTTCCTTTTTCAATTTGAAACTGGAAAAGCCCGTTTTAATCATCTTATACTACTGCCTGTGTTACATTTCCATGTGTTTTCCAGGAATTGGGCATTGCGTATAAAGAACCGATTATCGAAGAACTCTTCAAATTGGAGCATCCGCCGGAAAGGGTGTCGACCATAATGGCCCACACTGAGGCTTTCGTCGATCTCTGTTGTTTCCACCTTTGGTCAAATATTGTTTTGAAAGTATAATTATAACGACATTGATTCATTGATGCTCCAATAAGGTGCTCAACCGGCTGAGGTCAGTGCAAAGTACTGCTCAAGAATTTTTCCATGAAAACAAATTTTTTTTGACCCAGTGGCCAGTGCCTGTATGGGTAGTCTCGCTCTCTATGCGTTGAGTTTTACATCGATATAAACGGGAATGTGCAATTCATTAAGGAGCATTTTCGTTATCCGGCGAGCTTAGTCATCTGGAAATCGTTTAAACGAAGGGACTACCTGTGATCGTGCTCTAGTGCTGTGATTGAGCGGTCAGGTGTTCCTGCAATGACCTTACAAAACTTCAATTGTCATTGCCTCAGTTACCGGTTCAAAGGAAGGCATTTCGTGTGCTTCCATCGGATAAAGCTTCTTGGTTACAGTTCGCGTGAGATGAAGTGTGTGCTGGGGATAATTTCGTTAATTTCGCATGATCTGTTGAGAGATGTGATTCATTAAAATTGGTTTGGGAATCCTATCGACAGTTCATCGGTTTTTTACTTTTTTACTGGGATTTTGTGGCCGTGCTGATTACAGTACGGGGATATTTTTTTACGGTGCTGCTCTTCGATTTTTCAGATCAGTTTCTTCGACTGTGATGAGCCAGGTCATATGTCAAGGGTGATTCACACTCCATGATATCCGATATGACATCTATTTTGGTGGTATGATACTAAACTCCTTCCGGAAATTTGTGTCGAAAGGGAAGTAAAAGAAAAAGTGACGGCAGAGAAAGAAAATCCTTGCTTCATTCCGGCGAGTGTGCACAGGAAATTTAGGAAATATCTTGCGTTTTCTTGATAGATCTCCCTGTGATTCATTCGAATAGTGATCCAATAACGGGCTAGGATCACTATATAGTGACCCAATAATTATGCTCTGCTGCTGGCAGAGTATAATTCAAGCTTTTGAACGTTCTTCTTGATGTGACAGCATTTAGACTCAAATTCTGCGACGATCCATGTGCGAAATCATTTAAATGCGGATTCTGCGCTCATCGATAGCTATGTACTGTACTGTGCATGCAGTACTATACTGCATTACAGAATTTGCATCAGTTGAACGTACAGTATTCTGTGTGGCGCTGCGCTGCTACGATTTTACAGGTATAATATCATTTCTTTGTCTTTAAATCGAACTATTCCAAGATCACGGATTTTTCATCTCTGATTTGGATTTTTATGAACGCATAACTGTAAATATGTTCACTTTTCTAAAAAAAAAACAGTTCTGAAGGCGTTTAAGAATAGTTTTGCTGTTCAATAAATTCTGTGCAATTCTTCACATGTCCATAACATTTTACATGTCACATGACTTCGAATGTGAGCATCAACAAAATGTAATGCAGCTCAGGTAAACTCTCTTTTCCGATTTTATCTACAACAATTTTTCTGTATGAACATTTTTTGTTGGGTTCCGTAGGTTTTTTTTAAATGATACAATCCCCTCTACGATTATTTTTTTCTGGGTCCCTAAATTCTGTTACAGAGTAAGTCCAGGGGTATTTTTTTATTTTATTCATATGAATTGAAGATATATCAGCAATGGTAATGGGATCAAGTTGATATATCAGCATATATTTTCCTTTCAAGCAGAGGTTCTGTGTGTGTCTAAGATTTACCAGAATTTTCATGGAAGAAACGTGCTGATGTAGTGCCAGGATTCCTGGTTGTGCTACCCCTTCTGAAAAAGCACCGGGTTAGCTAACATGCGTTCTGTTCAAGTTAGCAACTACAGTATTCAGTATGCTGCGATGATGTACAGTACAGTAAATGTATAAGTGTACTCTTAGTTCACGTTGTTCCAGAGCACTATCTTCATGTATCCATTGAAGAATCGCTCAGAAACGTTTTGGCGTTTCATAAGAGATGTCGCTGTATTATGTGCATAATACAATACACATGGCAAGTTTCCTCATTCCAAGGGTACAGTATTACAATTTGCATGTACTGTAACTTTACTTAAGGTGGTGCTGCTTCCAACATGAAACCAGCAGGGCATCCCCGCCTCGATTAAAAAATAAATAAAATCATTTGTGATGTATTGCATTGGTTATTGAAACTTGGGTAGCACGGTTTTCAAATTCGTACTTGAGCATCGAAAAATTTTCTCTACAAAATTCGTCGCGAGGGCATAGAGCTTTGTCCTACATTTTTATACTGACGTGAATGAAAGCTGTCAGAAGTGAAAGAAGGGGATTTTGGCTGAGAGTATATACAGTAGTATACAGATTCCGTGAAAACGATGGACGTTTTTCTGCTGAATTTTCTCTATCGCCATGTTGACCAAGTGGGAAATTTGACTTACCTCAATTAAACCAAATGTAACATCATTAGAACGCGATGAGTCATCCGTACGCACAGGGAAAGTTATGGAAATGATGGGAAATACTATTCATTTATTCCTACATCGTGGGAATTGACAGCGTTTCCAAGGTTCACTTGAGCGAACCAAAGTTTCAGGTCTGGTAGGTTTTAACCGTTGGAGGCCGGAGTGACTGTCCCAGATAAGAACATCCTCGTCAGCAGGCGTAAATTCTGTCAAAAAGGACAATATTTGGTCAGCGATGGCGGCAGGAAAGCGGGGGTGTTTTGAATGCAAGTTATCGTTGCCAAGGATATGCTATCTTATCAATGTTCTTGTTGTATATTGAGTAAATACTGCATCCCGCATCACGTTGTTGACTGGTAACAAACAGTCATGTGGTTGTCCCCAAACTGCGCTGTCAAATTGGCTCATTTCGCTGAATTGAAGCCGGAGTAATCTCATTCGATATCTGCAATTCCTTCATTACGCCATCCCATTGCCTAGAGTAAAGTTAAAAGTCAACTGCGGCGGTTTTGTTTGTTGATCAATGCCTCTTCTCCATATAACTGCGAGATAGTGTCACCCTTCAATGCATTCAACGGCAAATTTACCTGGTGAGGATCTCAAGTGCCGGGCAAAGTTCACTTTACCATGCAAACTCTTGCTTTGAAGTGTCGGGATGGTGTGTCATGAAAACCGGAGACACGCATATTTTTTGACCACGTCCCCGGGCTTCTGAATAATTACTCTTGCGCACCACCCGGTTTAATTTTACCTCGAGACTTTCCTCTTTATAGTTGTCTGTACCTACTTAGAGAATCCACGATAGGAAAATGATGGAGCATATTTGAAGCAAGCTATCCCACAGGGGTTCATGAGATTTTTTCTTTAATATCGTTTGTAATCTCGTTTTTATTTAATAGGGTTAATAAATTAAACTCCCGATTTCCTTCATTAGCTATTTATTCTTACGTGTTCCTCCTGTAGTATTTTACGACTATTGTTTTATTTATTGTTTTATTTTTCTTCGATATAATGTACAGTACTGTTCGATATAATGTAGTTGATATAAGCACAATTTGACAGATAGGTGAAGTTGATACAGGGAAGCAGCATTATCATAGTTTTGGATGCTTTATGAGTTCTGTATACGAATCCGCAACCATTTGAATCCAATCAAGTTAACCATTGAATCTTCAAAGCGAATCTGTACCGTATACAGCACCTGTATACGAGACTATAATCGCGTGTGTATATAGCAAATTGTACCTTATTTTGGAGAGGCATTAGATTGATGAAAAGATTAAGAAAGCCGGGTGAAAATGGAAAAAAATGCTCGAAGTTTTCAACCTTGATAACAGGTTCAGATGAAATTTACTTTTCCTTCAACATCAATCAGAACAACAATAAAGATACACTACATCAATGAAAATATATTCCATGAGTTGGATGGAGCATATAATTCCTTTTTTGTAGATTGTCTATGACCTCGAGCATATGAAGTACTATATTCAGCAGTTGAAACTTCAGTGGGGCCTATAAAATAGTTTCAAAAAATGTTCAAGTGATGAACATACGCCATGCATACTTATTTAAGGTATTCTTTGTCATCGCACCAGCAACATTTTTGGGCTCCCTTTTTGGGGTAAAACTGCTGCGGCTTACAGAAAAAAGTATTTTTTTGCGATTTGCCTTCAGGGGATTTCCTTACGTCGATCAGCTTATTATTCAAATGGATGAAATATTTTTTCCGACCTCGAAGCAGTCGCATTCGTGCATCGTCATCGCTGGAGCTGGAACTTCATGAATTCAACCGCGCTGTAGAAGTAGAAGAAGTTCGCTTTCTTAAGTCGACGTGACATATTTTCCTCGCGAACTTGTTCATGTTCTGACGAACAGTTCAGGCGGGAAGTCGCGAGAAATCTTTCATCAACTCATCGCGCGAGTTTAATCCACGCTGTTATTATCAATTTCCTTTCTTCAGTCCATTTTCGATGAAGCAAGTTACCAAGTTCTATCGAAGTTTACTTAAGCGAACGATCATTTTCCACTCTTCTATTTTTTTCTCGCTGAACAAAGGCTTCATTCGCACGCTTAATTTCCTCGAACTTCGAGCTAGAATTTTGTTCTAACGTGCTTGAATGGTGCATTTCTTCGCCGTGTTTGTTTTCGTTGGTACCTCAGAGGAAGACGCTGATGGACGGTTAAGCGGAAGATAATCCGAGTCACAGTGTCTTTTTTTCCTTATCCTGAGAAACTTCAGAAATCCAGTGACACAATTCTTCTGCTGCGCGACTGGCGTTCCCCTCACCGCATTAACAACAGGCTGTCGTTCAGCAGCATTGTTCTGCTGCGCTACCAACCATAAAATGGTTTGCGATATTGTTGTAAATTTTAAAACGCTGCAATGACGACATCATTCCGTCAACAAAATGTTAGGGAACAAGAGTTTGAAGAAAGGAGCCTCTTTCGTCGAATGACTGGTTAACAACAAAAGTTTGGCTCATTTGTCGATTTTGAGAAGCATGTACCGGTACTTAGCTTTACAATAGATTTCATAGCCGAGGAAAATATTTCTGGGAAATGAGCAGTGCCTCGGATCTCACTAATGTTACTATCCATTTTGCGAGGAACTGTGTGGGCTCTATGCTGCTTAAAGGTAAAGTGACAGCGTCGTATAATAAGATCCTTGAGTTGTCAGAAGAAAGTACTCAACATGATCAGACATTTGTTTGCCCGAGTTTGAGAGTCAACCAACTTCTTCAAGTGCAGTGCAGTGCTCACGGTTTCCTGATTTACTCTCAACGGTTTAGTGATATGAAACATGTTATCTGGCAGAGTGTCAATGCTGCCCGAGTATAGTGCTTTTTCTGGGCGAGGGTTCAATGAGCAGTGCGAGGATCTGTTTGAACTGAGATTAGGCTTCGCTGTGCCTACTTTGAAATGTTGACTCATGCAGTGTCTGTTTCTGGGGCTACAGATAACTGTATAAAAGCCAGCGACTGTGGGGCAGACTCCTCAGAAGGGCTGGGTGGTCTAGGTGATACACAACTCAGGTCCCCAAAGCCCACTGAAAATGGGAAATTTATTCAGGTGTTTGGGAAACTTTGAAACAAGGTGAGAAAGTGGCGAGAACAACGCTTAATAAAAGATCAGGATTTTTCCCGAAAA